GCTTCAGGACCCATAGAAAGAGGCCCCATCAACCCAGAAAGGGGGGCTCTAAATGAGGCCCCAGAGCCAAGGCTGGTGGGCCCCAACTTGGAAGAGGGGCCCTCCTGAGTGATCCCAACTGAAGCTGACCATCTGGCAGATCTGGAATTTCGCTCTCCAAGGGGAGAGGGGCAAGAAAGAAAAAGAGAAGGAGAAGGAGAGAGAAAGGAAGAAAGAAAGGAAGAAAGAAAGAAAGAAAGAAAGAAAGAAAGAAAGAAAGAAAGAAAGAAAGAAAGAGAAAAGAGAAAGGGAAAGATAGAGAGAGCAGAAAGAAAAAGAATGAAAGAAACAAAAAGAGAGTAAAAAGAAAGAAAAGAGAAAGAGAGAGAGAAAGAAGGAAAGAAAGAAAAGAGAAAGGGAAAAATATAGAGAGAGAGGAGAAAAAAAGAATGAAAGAAAGAAAAGAGAAAGAAAAAAAGAATGAAAGCAAAAGAGAGAAAGACAAGGTGAGAAAGAAAGAAAAAGAAAGAGGGAGGAAGGAAGGAAGGAAGGAAGGAAGGAAGGAAGGAAGGAAGGAAGGAAGAGCCTCGGTGGGGACTTCCTATTCCTGCTCCCTCCCTAGATGAGGTCTTCCCCCCAACCGTCCCCTTGAGTGTGGGGGGGAGGGGCAGGTACGTACAGCCGTGCCGGGAAGGCCTCGCTCTCCAGGGAAGCCCCTCAGCCCTGGGGGTCCGTCCTTCCCAGGGCCTCCGGTGGTTCCTGGGTCACCCTGAAAGACACACGGAGCGTCACAATGGGTTGCCCCCCCTGCGCCCCACATCGGAGGACGAAGGCAGACCCCCCTCCCCAATACTCTGCACAGCCACAAAAAGAAAACCCTCGCAGGGAGGGCCCGGTGGATGAGGACTAGCTGGCGGGGACACTGCCGGTCAAAGGGGGACCGGGGTACCCAGCCCTGAGGGCCCTTTGAGACCTCCCTCTGGAGGGGCCAGGGGAGGGGAAGGGGACGGAGGGGCGGCAGGAAGCATCTGCCCGGCCGGCCACGGTGGGTTACCTTGGTCCCTTCCTTCCCGGAGGGCCCTGGCAGGCCTTGTTCTCCTGGAGGTCCTGGGGGCCCCGAGTGGCCCCTCTCCCCCATCTGGCCCGTTTCCCCCGCAGGCCCCTGTGGGAGGAAGCACCAGGGAGGGAAAGTGTTGGAAGGGCTGCTGCCACTCCCCTCCCTCCCCTCCCACCCACCCACCCACTTTCCGGCAGCATCTGTTACCTGTGGCCCCACGATCCCGGGGCCACCTGGGGAACCGGCCTTCCCTTGCAGCCCCTGGAAGACAGAAGAGGAGAGAGTGGCAGGGAGGGGCTGGGGGACAGCGACACCCCCTCCCCTCTGAACCAGGCCCCACCTCTTCACTCCTGGTAACCAGTGTTTGCCCCGGCCTAGCTGGGAAAGGGTGGGATTCGCACACAGAGCCTTCTCAAGGCGAAACCGGAGTCTTCCCTCCTAGTCTCCAAAGCCAGGAGTAGGCCGGGGAGTGGGGGGGGGCATGCGGACNTGGCCCCCTCCAGAAAGGCCAAGGTTGGGGCGATGGGGGGGGACACTCACCGGGGGTCCATCCGAGCCGGGCATCCCGGGAAGGCCTGGTTTCCCTTGGGGTCCCTGCAAGAGACGGGGAGACCCTGTTGGACCCAGAAGTCCAGGAAGCCTCTCTCCTCCCCCCCCCAAGCACTGGGTGGTGGGAATAGGGGGCTCCCTGCCCAGCCGCCCCCCCTCTCTCACCTTTTCCCCCGGGGCCCCCATGGGGCCTTGTGGTCCCGGCAGACCCTGGAAGCAGAGAAGGAGGAAAGTGGGGTGAGGGGCATCCTGGAGGCCAAGACCCCCACCCGCCCCTCCCCCCTCACACCCAGAGGGCTGGAGTTGAGGTTTTTGGGGGGCTTCAGAGAGCAAACAGAGATGAACTGGAACCAAGCCGGGAATCAGGGTTTGTAAAGCTTCAGCCAAGACACCCTCCCCCACCTGCCGACCTCACAGGGCTGTTGTCGGGGAGGGGGAGGGGAGGCCAGCAAAGCAGCTCCCACCCCAGGCAGCCCTTCTTGGGGAGAGGAGGGGGGCTGCCCTTGCCCCCCCCCTCCTGTGTCTGCCAGCCAAGTGGGGGAGGGGCATTTTCCAGGGCTAATGAAGAGCCCTGGTGGGGGTTTTGGGGGGACGGGGGGGACACCTGCTTCCTTCCCATCTGCCCTGGGAGCACTCAGGGCACGGACAAGGCTGCGGAGTGACAGAGGGCTCTTAATCCTCCACCGAACCTCCATAGTCAGGAGCACTCTACCTTAAGCAACCGCCTTGGACTTACCTGAGTTCCAGGTGCCCCCTGTTGGCCAGGGGGTCCCGGCTCCCCTTGCGGACCCTGGTTCGGACAAACAGAGGGGGGGGCTGTCAGATCAAGAGGGAGCCCTGGAGGGGTGGGGGCTGTTCTTGGATGTACCATAGATATTTCCCCACCCGCCTAAAATGAAGCGGCTTCCCTGGCCTGTTTGGGGGGCGCTTTGGGTCTCCTGTTGGTGCCCCTTCCATGAACCGATCCCATTTCAACTTTCCAAATCGGTTCCCCGGGAGGTAACTGGAGATCATCCAGCCCAACCCCTTCCCTGGGCAGGGATCTACTCCTGCACCATCCTCTCCGTCTAATCGTGAAAGAGCCCCGTGCGTCATTCCTGGACCGCAGCTCCCATCATCCCTGGCAGCTGCTATGGGACTACAACTGCCCTCGCAACGCCGGGGCCAAGGACGGCCACAGAACCGCCCCAAAGGGCCCAGACCGAGCATCACAGGCCCCGCCCTCTGCGGCTGCAGAATTGGGGAAGGGGCTGCGTCTCCCTCCGAGGGGCCTTTATGGGGCCTCAGAAGCTGCTGCCTCCCACCTCCGACCCTCTGAGGCTGCCAGGTAGAGAAGACACTCTGTGCATGCTCAGAAGCTCTTCAACATGTCCTGGCCAACCCTCCCAAATCCCACAGCCGCGGCTTTTGCCTCCGTCCACTTACCAGGCCCCCCTTCGGTCCGTGGGGGCCGTCCACACCACGCACGCCCTGCCAAGGAAAAGACAGGGCTGGAGTCGGTGGCCTTTGGTGGGGCCAAAGGAGGCCCCGAGGGTGGGTGGAGGTTCCCGGGGGACTCCCTCCTCCCCAGCACTTACCTGTGGCCCTGGGACGCCCGGGGCCCCTTTGGGGCCAAGCAGCCCTCTTGGTCCCTGCGAAGAAAAGGCATGATGGGTGGGAGGGAGGAGGCCAGGATCACCGTACCCCCACACACACACTCGTTGCCTCTGGGGAACCCCAGAGAACTGAGGTGGGGGGACATGGGTGAGGGTCTTTCAATGCCCGGAAGAGCGCAGGACCAGCTGTCCCTCCACCCTCCATGTCCAGGGATGCTACGCACCGGTTCTCCAGGGGAGCCACGGGGCCCGATCTCTCCATCGTCGCCCTGCAGAGGGGAGGGACAGGAAGAGTGTCTGCAGGGGGGCAGATCGGCTTCCATTTTTATCTCCCCTCCCCCGTTTCGGTTTACAGAACCCCCCCCCCCAGCAGCCCCCCCCCCCTGAGGACCTCCCCTGGGTCCGTACGGAAGCTCCCGTTGCTAGTCTCAAGGAGGGGGTGTTTTCTGTAGAGGGGCGTCTGCACCGCCTCCTGCCCTTCCCCTCCTGCCCTCACAGGCCTTACCCTCTCGCCGTCTTCGCCCGGGGGTCCAGAGACTCCTTGCGCACCGGGGTCTCCCTGCCAAGGACGGAAGCAGCACCATGAGGGGCCCCCGCCAAGAGCAGCCTGGCAACTACCCCCAACCCTCCCCCTCCAACTTTCCTCCTCACTCACCCGGTATCCCTTGTCCCCCGGGAGGCCGGGCAGCCCGTCGAAACCCCTATCGCCCTGCGGGAAGAGAAGAGCGTGAGAAAAGGGGGGGCAGCAGATGCGGGGCCCCGAGGGGCCCCGAGGGGTGACAAGGAGACCCTCCCCGTACGTCCTGGCTCTGCTCGCAAAGGGAGGGGCAGGAGCAGCAGAAAATGCTGGGTGTGGGGCACGGGAGGGGATCCCCACCATTCTGCGGTGCGGCAGGGCAACCGAGAAACGGGGGGTCCCCCGAGGCAAAGGAGCCTGGGAGGGTGTCCCCCCCCCACAGATGTCAGTGAGGGGTTGAACTCCAGAGTGCTTGACTGCGCGGCCAGCACCGTCTTCGTGCAGCTCAGGACTGGGAGAGCGGGGTTCGAGTCCTCCCCCCCCTTGTGGAAAGAGGGTCCTTACCTTGAGGCCAGGCACTCCAGGCATCCCCCGTGCACCGTCTGCGCCCTCCCTGCCCTGCGGACACACAGAGAGGGGGTCAGGAGGAGCCCCCCCCTTCCGCTCAGAGACTCCTCCCTCCTCCCCTGTTGTGCTGTGATTGCTACACAACTTTTGCTCCCCCACAAGTAAGAAAAAGGGGACTTACGCGACGGCCGGGCTTCCCTGGGGGGCCACTCAGTCCCTGTTGTCCCTGGGGCCCCTGGGGGGGCAGAGAGAGAGAGAGACCGAGATTTAGTGGGGCAAAAAAGGGGTGACCTACCCGAGACATCGGAGGGGACCCTCCACCTCCAGGAGCTGACCCAAAACAGGGACCCCAATTCCCAGCTGCATCGGGGGTCTCAGCAGAGTGGGGAGCAGAAAGTTATCGATTGCCCTAGAGACCGAGGCGGTGGGGGGGACGGACGGGACCCATAAGTCCACCTTACCTGTTGGCCAAAATCTCCGGGCTCCCCCTTCACGCCGGAGACTCCCTGTTCACCCTAGGAGAGAGGAAGCACAAGGGGGGAACGTGGCTGCCGGGCCCCTGGGCACGGAAGGGCCCAAAGCAGCAAGCGGCCTTCCGCAGCCGGGGCCCCACCGGAGGATGAAGCATTGAAGGGCCCGAAGGCCACCCCTCCCCAAATCCCCCCCCTCCCTACTTACCATGGGTCCTGGGCGGCCGGTGTACCCCATGGGTCCTGGAGGGCCACGCAAGGATAGCTGCGGCAGGGAAGGAAAGGGGTCAGGAGAGCAGCCCAAGCAGCCCCGTTTACATCGGGGGGCCACCCAGAGGCTCAAAAGCAGGGCCCCTGATTGGGCGGGGGGCTCCCACATAGGGGACTCTCATTGTTCTCTCCCAAATTCTTCCGTTCCCCTCCCCCCCCAAAGAGCATAGGAGGGGGGCCGGCTGGACTCACGCGGGCCTGCTGGAGGAACGCCTGGGCCTGGGCCTCCTGGGCCATCGCGACCGGCCCCTTCTGGCCCCCGGCGGGGCTCCCGAAACGGAACTGCGGTCAGGAGGGGAGAATCGAGCGAGTCTCGCAAGAGGAAGGACACGAAAGGGCCAAGACCTCCCGGATTCAGGGGCAGAATTGGCCCCCATCCGGACGCCCCCCCCACAAACTCCCCCAGCCCCCCCCCAGGACATCCCCAGCTCCGGCCACACAGGCCCTCCGTTTCCTGACTCACCGGGAGCATCATGGAGGTGCCGGGGGGCCCTGGACGTCCGTCTGACCCCGGGAATCCGGCCCGTCCAGGGGGACCCTGTGAAGGAGGCAGAGAGGTTGCCGGAACACACAAATCCCCCCCCCCCAACTCTGGGCCCAACTGCACTTCAATCCCTCTGGCAGTGGCCCATGGGGGAAGGAGTCCTCCTCTGGCAAGAACGTCAATTCCAGCCTCCCTTGGTGCCCTCTGCGTTAGCCGGACTACAATCCCCATCCTCCTCCTGAAACCTTGAATTCAGCACAGCTGGAAGGCAGCCGGGGGGGGAGGGGGAAGTGGGGGGGGAAGCAGCTGTTCACCTCGGGCTCCTTCCAGGCGGGCTATTCGGGGGGGGAAAGCCCCATAATCCCCGGGCCTTTCCTTTCACTCAGGAACAATTGGCATTGCTGTGATTCCAAGAGGTGGAATCGGGGACCTCTGGCGAGTCACAATAGAACTCTGCACATGCTCAACCCCCAGCCCACCCTCTGCTCCTTTCAAGACCCCCCCAATGGGGAGGGGGCGCCCCACTCACCCGCTCTCCGGGGTCGCCAGGAGCTCCGGGCATCCCCTGGGTGCCAGGCGGTCCACTCGCGCCCTGCGGAGAGGGAGAGAAGGCGTCTCTTCAGCCGTCTCTGCCCCACCTGTGCCACCCTTCCCATCGCCCATCGCCCGCAGCTCTTACCCGGGGTCCTTCGGGGCCGGGCCGGCCGGGCACAACCATCCCCTGCAGAATAAAAAGGAGGTCAGGCGGAAAGACCCCCTCCCTCTTTCTGTTGGGGAAAGAGGGGCACAGGGGAGCCTCCCTTTGGGGAAGCCTCCGTCAGAGGCACAAAGCGGGCAGGATTCGGAGCGGGGACCCAACCCACCCGGAGGAGAGGGAGGGGGAGGGAGGGAGACGCAAGGGGGGCCAGGAAGGGATGCTGATCTTGACCTTTGACCCCCCCCTGCAGTGACCTGCAACGATTGGGCACTAACCTCCCCCTTCCTCCCACCCCCACCCCCCCGGTGGCTTGGGCTTGGTTCCCAATGTTGGGCGCTTGAAGGTGGGTGGAATTCTGGGAGTTGGGCAATATAAATTTTTACTGCATGGAAGCCAATTTGCTCATTGTCTCCCCAGGGCAATTACAAAACTGCACACACACCCCCAAAGGACACCCCCACCCACCAGCCCAGCTCTGACCCCCGTTGAAGGACCCCGCCCCTTTCCCAGCAGATTCCTTCCTGCCCCGGGATCTCCATCCCTGCCCCTAAAGCCCAGGATTTGCCGTTCTCCCTTCCCATCAGCCAAAGCCGGCCGGAGGGGGGGGAGTCCAGACAGCATCCAGACCACTGGAGGCCTTCATCTCTGTCCCAAGTGGGGGGGGGGCTTGGGGGGAGGCAGGACGACCTCTGGAATTCTGAGATCAAAAGGCGACCAAAGAGATCGGAGGGGAGAAAATTCAAAGCTGGGATTGTGGATGCGGAAGGGAGCGGACAGAGCCAATGTTTCAGGCTGCCTGCCCCACAACCCCCCCTCACACCCACACAAACACACCGACAACCGTGGAAACTTACAGGTTCAAAGACGGCTGGTTCCCCTTTCTCTCCCTTCAGGCCACGGGCTCCGAGAACTGCCTGGTTGTTACACACATGTAGCCACAGGAAAGAGATTGTCAGCATTGTGTTGCTGCAGCACAAGCACGCACAGACACGCAACGCACACGCACACACGCACACTGAGTGCCCCCTCCTTCTGCACCTAGATGCCAAAGGAGGGCTCCAACAGGAGGAAAAACAGAATTGTGCCCTTTCACACTTAAGTCTTCCGCACAACCAAAACGTTGCAAGCTCAACCGTTGCTGGACTCCTGGGCAGGAGGGGTGGGCTAGATGGTCTCCAGGGGACCCTGCCAGCCCTTGCCTTCTAGGGCTCTTGAGAAAGGCCGAGATGCATCGCTTCTGCCTTATTTAAACCTCCATTTGAGGCTTTTTATTTTAATCCCACTTGCTTCCCGGGAACCCCCCCTTCCCTCCAAAAAAATATCCCGACTCTTGTTCCCGCACCCCAAGAGAGGAGGAAAAGGGGGGCCTGGGGAGAACGTTTGTGGGAATACGCCTGTGCAGAGTCTCCCCCATGCAGGTGGTGGTTGTTCCCCAAAGGGGCATTTTTTTCCCCCCCGAAAGGCAACTGGATTTTCTTGCTTTTTTCCCCCCACTTTGAAAACATTTCGCCTCTCATCCAAGCGCCTGAACCGAAGAAGCTTCTCGGATAAGAAGCGAAACGTTTTCAAGGAAAGGAAACCAAGAAAGTCCAGTTGCCTTTTTTTGGGGGGGGAGCGGAGAGCACCTTTGGAACATTAGAATAGAATAGCAGAGTTGGAAGGGACCTTGGAGGTCTTCTAGTCCACCCCCACCCCTGCCTAGGTAGGAAACCTTACACCACTTCAGACAAATGGTTATCCAGCATCTTCTTTAAAAACTTCCAGTGTTGGAGAATTCACAACTTCTGGAGGCAAATTGTTCCACTGATTAATTCTTCTAACTGTCAGGAAATTTCTCCTTAGATCTAAGTTGCTTCTCTCCTTGATTAGTTTCCACCCATTGCTCCTTGTCCTGCCCTCAGGTGCCTTGGAGAACAGGTGGACACACGGACCCTTCTTGGGGGGCGGCCCCTGAAGCCCCCACATCCATAAGATAATTCAGTGCGGCTGCTAACGCCAGGGATAACTCAAAAAGCCTCTTTGACCCACTGAATTCAGTCAACCAGCCATTCATGGATACTGTAGGAATGGCAGCAGTTGGCCATGGTGATGTTGAAAACCAGGAGGCAGGGAGTTCTAGTCCCGCCTTGGGCACCAAGCCAGCTGGGTGAACCTTGGGCCGGTCACCCCCCCCCCCCACCCTCAGCCCTAGGAAGGAGGCAATGGCACAGCTTGCCAGGAGAAAACGGCAGGGGTTATGAAACAGGGGGTGACGTAATGCGAAGTGCCATCAGCCGTTTCCTGGGCTGAGGTTGGGCATCCGGTTCAACAAGGGCCCTTTTCAAGGCAGGAGCATCGGTGTCTCTGGATATTTAAGAATTGCTAAGAACTTTCCAAGTACGTTAGAAGTTCCCTCGTGGTCGAAGGCACCAAGGAATCCGCTAAGGAAGCATCTCTGAAACGAGGACCCAGTGGGTCCCACATGGGTCTACTTTCGAATTTTAAAAAAAATCTGCCAAAATACACAGGAAATTCTCAGATTTTTAAAGAGAAAAATATATTTGGAACCAAATCCAATTAAGAAAAAAAAAATAACTCTGAAAAAAATGTTATTGAAATGCTCTGGATTGCAAGGGGGGGCAGGAAGGGGTTGGAATTACGGTGTGCTAATTGTGGGGTGGGGAGGCCTTTTCCAGTATAGCAGGAACTGGGACCAGTTGTTATACTGGAGAAAAGGCCTGCCTGCATTTCCATGGAAATCAGCTTTGTGGTTAGAGAGATGGAGGCATAAGGATGGGCAGGTCACATCCTGACAGGAAATGATGTCATCAAAAGCATGATATGACAGATGGGGCGGGTCATAATTCATAGGAAGTGACATCATCAAAGTGGGGTGATGTCACATGATATAACTTCATATGAAGTGACATCATCAACAGAGTGACATCAATGTGTATACTTCTTAGGAAGTGACATCATCAAAAGGTGGGGATGGGACAGGATGTAACTTCATAGGAACGGACATCATCAACAGTGATGTCACCAGATATAACTTCCTAAGAAGTGACATCATCAAAAGGGGTGATGATGTCACAGGACATAACAGGAAGGAGAGACAGGAGACCCAGCCATGCAAATGAGGCGCCGAGGAGCAAGTGCAGGAGAAGCCAGAGCAGGTCAAACCACAGAGGGGGAAGCCTAGAGAGGGGCTCAGAGCATGGCAAAATAAGGCAAGGGGGGTAGGAGGTGCTGCTTCTGCCACCCAGTGGTGGGTGGTGGAAAAGGCAGGAGGAAGACAACACAGAAGGACCCATATAAACTAGAAGGAAATCCGCAGCCGCCACCAGAACAGGACACGGGGACACACGGGAAACACTGACATGCCCACAACGACACACGTGGTTCAGCGAAAGACCCGCAAAAGAAGGGAAAATCCCACCCCCCAAAAAAAGCCAGCCTGCAGCCCAGCTTGAATCATGGCACCAGGACAGACGGACGGACGGACGGAGACAGTGACACAGGGCACAAGGGAGGCTCCCACTTACGACGGCTTCGTAGGGGGCCTGGGCTGAGAGCAGGGGGCCCATCTCGCCGGGGTTAGGATCGCCGTTTCCATAGTCCAGACCCTCCTCCTCGTCAGCCGCCTCCTCCTGGGCCAGGCAGGAAGGGAACCCCAGGGGGAATTTAGCCCAGGAGAGGGAGGGGATCTGCCGCAAGCACCCCGTGGCACCCGAGCCCTCGCCCAGCACCCACCGGAGAGGCAGCTTTCCCCACCAGCAAGGGAATTGCCCCTCGCCCCATCCCTCCTGCCCCCCCGGGCCGAGTCCCTCTGCACCAGCCCGGCGACATTTACCTCCACCCGGGGCAGCGAGAGGGCAGGCGGTGAGGCCTCCCGTGCGGGGACCCTCTGCTGGGAGGTGGCCTCAGGAGGTGGGGGGCGGCTGGGGTGCTGGCGAGCCCCCAGGGGCTGCCCAGTGGGAAGGGGGCCGGTGTCCTGGGAGGGAGGGAGGGAGGGAGGTGAAACCAGAGAAACGAAGGGCAGGCGGAGAGTTCAGAGAGGGAAGAAGCGAGAGAGGAAGGGAGGATTAGTCAGTTACTGCCAATGTCCCCGTGGGGCTCTGGGGCCCAACTCTGCAACGGGGAACATTTAAGCCCAAAGGAGCCAACGGATTCCAGTATCCACTGGAGGCTTCAGCTGCAGCTGGAGGGGGGGGGCTGGAGCAGCTGGGGCCCCCTCCCCCTGCACTCCAGGCCAGCCCAAGGGGGTGTTTCTCCTTCTCGGGGCTCCCCTCTCCCCCCTCCCCCATGCCGACCCCAGCCCCGCCCTCTGGCTCTACCTGTTGGTAGCTGCTTCGTGGGCCCCGGGCTGCCTGGGCCGGGCCCCCTGCCTTCTTGCCGGCCGAGGCTGCCTTGGCACTGGGGCTGGTGGCCTTGGGGGTTTTTCCGGCGGTTGAGGCCTTTCCGTTGCTGAGTGGTTTCCCGTCGCGGGATTCCTTGTGGCCGCTGGGCCGCTTCCCTTCTGGGGCGTCCGTCTTGGGGGCGGTGGGCGAGGGGCCGGGCAGCTGGCGCTTCTGGGGCTGCTTGGCCTGAGTGGGGGGCTTCGTCTTGGGGGGCGTCTAGTGGAGACCACAGAGGCAGCGATGGGGGAAGGTGGCCGGAGGAAGCAGAAAGCAGAGCCAAGGAGCCCCCCACCCCCCCGAGACACCCCCTCCCCAGGAGAGACCCACACTGGGCCCCAGGCCCCCCTCTGAGGAGCTCCCCCCCATCGCTTCCTCTTCCCCCCTTCAGTGCTGTGGGGAGCGAATGGACCCTCCTCCTCCTCCTCCTCCTCTCTGGGGCAGCCCCTCCCTCAAGTGATGCCTCCCCTGGTGCTCCTCTTCCCTGGACCGGCCAGGCCCCCTTCCTGCGACCCTCCATCGTCCCTTTTGGCCCCCAGCCCCCTAATTGTTTTTTGTCGCTCCTCTCTGTACAGGTAGTCCTCGACTTACGACAGTCCGTTTAGTGACGGCTCAAAAGTTACAACAGCACTGAAAAAAGCGACTTGTGACCAGTTTTTCACAGTTGCGACCTTCCCAGCATCACCACGAACAGTCAATCAAAATTCGGACGTTTTAGCAACTGTGTTTTATGACGGTCGTAACATCCCGGGGCGGTGTGATTCCCCTTCTGGTAAGTCAAGTCAACGGGGAAGCCAGATTTGGCTAACGACTGGGCTACTAACTTATCCACTCCAACGATTCACTTAACGACCGTGATGAGAAAGTTCATAAAATGAGGCAAAATGCGCTGGAATGTCTCGCTTAACAATGGAAATGTTGGCCTCAGTTGTGGTCTTAAGCCGAGGACTACGTCTACTCTCTCTAGAGTCTCAAGGTTTTGTTTTTTTTTAAATATCCTGCTGAGGAGAATCCAGGCGCAGAAGTCCAAATTTTTTTCAATGTAATCTGAATTGAGTGGCTTGGCAGGATGAGTCCTGGCCGGACTTCAAAAGGCCCAGCTCTGCGGTCGGCCCCACAGAGGAGAACAGTCCACAATGGGCTCCTGTTGGGAGGGGGGGGAGAAGGAGCCCTCCCCCCACCCCCCATTGAGCCCTGGGGAGAAGATCCATTACAGCCTCTCACGAAACTTTCAGGGACAAAAATGAGATTATTATTTTTTGCAAGGTTTGAAGCGAAGTTCCCTTCATCCGTCCCAGCAACGAGGGTTTAAATGGCAGAAACTTCCTTGTTGGTGGGTGCACCTCTTCCCTTTTGTAGTGGGGGGAGGGGGGTGTCTCTACCGTCAGAGAAGATTCAAGTTTGGCCACTTAGTGAGTTGAAAAAGATGAGTTGCAAAAGGCAAAAAACAAAAAAAAATTACTAAGAGGTTTTTAAGAAGAGGTCGGACGACCAATTATCTGAAATGGGATAGGTGCAATGGGCTGGACTGGAAGACCTCCAAGGTCCCTTCCCAGGTATCATGTTAAAAAGGTTTGTTTAAAAATAAACCTAACCCCCCCCCGCGCCCAAGTAGGTAAATTAGCCCCACCCTATCAGCATCTATGAAATCCCCCAAAACTTGGTTGTCCCACCAGTTCTAGGGGTCCCAGAGAAAGAGGGGAGAGGGCTATGCTGTACAGCTAATATTCGACTTACAACACACTTATTTAGCAATGGGAAATTTCGGTCCCGGCTTTGGTCATAAGATGAGGACCATCTGTACATAAAATGCTGGGCCATTCTCCCAGTTTTATATTAATTTTAATTGGCAACTATGCCTGTTATTAATTATTGTTTTAACTGCTCTGGCTGTTTACTCCAGGTAGACCTCACGACCATGTTTAAGCCCAAACTTTTTTGTTGGTAAGTTGTCCTTTGGTTCATTTTGCCCGATTTTACAACCTTCCTTGCCGCAGTTGTTAAGTGAATCACTGCAGTGGTTCAGTTAGCAAGACGGTCGTTAAGTGAATCTGGCTTCCTCGTTGAATCTGCTTGTGGGAAGGTCGCAAAAGTGGGTCGGGGATACTCTGACCATCATAAATACGAGTCAGGCTGCTGCCATGGTCGCAAGTTTGAAAAATGGTCATGTCAATATTTTCAGTGCGGTTGTAACTTTGAACGGCCACTAAGGAACTGTTGTACGTTGAGGACTTATCTGTGTCAGATTTGTGAGACGGATGGCTATATAAATCTGTTAATAACGAAGCGATGAACGGTTGCTGAAGGAGATCCTCCTCCGTCTTCCCCAACCGGCCGAGAAAGTTGCCAAAAGAAATTCCGGAAGTTCCTTCTCAGAGGTCAAAACTTCTCCCGGATTTATTGAAGTTGTTTATTTATCCCTTGGAGATCCTGCACTGAGAAATCCACCGCCATCTTTGATCAGGTCCAGGGGTGAAATTCAGCCAGTTCTGACAGGTTCTGGTAGCGGAAAGTTTGAGTAGTTCGAAGAACCGGTAAACACCACCTCTGGCTGGCCGCGCCCCCATCTAGTCTCTGCCTCCCGAGTCCCAGCTGCTCAGGAGGGAATGGGGATTTTGCAGTATCCTCTCCCACCAAGCCACGCCCACAGAAAGAAGGGCTCAGGGGGGTCAAGAAGGGAAGCCAGTGTAGGTGGGGGAGGGGATGGTTTGACTCATAAGCAAGACGGGACTTCCTTGTTCCCACGACGAGACCCGCGTGCAGGAAGCAGATTCAGGCCGAGGCCTCTTGGGCAGGATATCCAACGACAGGTCTCCTTCCCACGCCACCGTCTACTTGGGGAGTCTCGTGCTCTGGGGGTGGGGGTTCAGTCTAGATGGCCTCAAAAGGACCCTCCAATGAAAATTCCATGAACCCTGAGTTCGAAACTCTCTTTATTTCGCAGTCCAGCTGGAGGCTTCATCCGGGGTTCAGTTTCGACAAAAATGCATTTATTTATTAATTGATCAAATTTTAAAACCGCTCAGCACCCTGACTGACTCTGTGCCGCGGCAGCTCCCGTGGGCATTCAACTGTGGCATGGAGCCCAGGTGTCTTTTCCCTGTTCAGAAGAGCCCAGCCTGCGCCCCCTTTTCTCCCTTCCCCTCTTATTAAAATTGGGGCGATTGTTTCTGGGGCGCCAGGATCTGCGCCAGGCCGTTTCCCTTCCCACAAAACCTCCTTTTCACCTTGAGTGCCAAACGCCAGCGAAAGAAGACACCCCTCCACACACACACACAGCTTGTCCCTCTCCTCACCTCAGGCCTGGGGGGCCTCTGCTGAGCTTCCTGGGCTTGGGGCTTCTGTGATGGGCCCCCGCAGTCCGGGCAGTAACTGTGGGCGGCCTGGGGGTTGGAGCTGATCCGCAGCTGCTGGATGTCTCCCTGGGGGAGAAGAAGGGGCACAGGGGGGGTGAGGTGGGGCTAAGACCCCCAACAGGGGAGGGAGGCAGGAAGGAGGGGTGGGTGAGGCTCCCTACCTCGAAGACCCCCTCGTCCAGGATCCGGGCCCCGAAGATGGTGATGCCCTTGGTGTCCAACAGGGGCTTGTTCCCCCGGGGGAGGGGCATGGTGGCCTTCTTCTTGCAGTCCAGGAATAGCGTCACCTGCTTCTTCTTCACACTGAATGCCACCCGATGCCACCTGCAGGGGTAAGGCAGGCCCCTCCTCAGCCCCCGCAGGCCACACGGGCACCGGAAGGCTGAGCCGGGCATCCAGGGAAGGGCTGGCAGAACGGCGCCTGGCACCCAGCCTGCCAGGCGCCAACTGATCTGTCCACCTCTGCAGTGCCAGGTAAAGATCTACTGGCCTTCTGGGTGGGTGTTTGGGGCCGGAGCCTCTGGCAGCCTCCCCCCTCCTTCCTCCCTGTGGGTCCCAGGCCCAGAAGTTAAAAACTCCCTGCTTTGGCTCCTGTCTCTCTTCCCCCTGCCCCTCCTCTGACACCCACCCACCCCAAGATCAGAAATCTAAGGAAGAGTTAAAAGCCCAGGTGTGCCAGAAGGCAGCCTTCATCTGCAGTGGAAAAAAGGACACCAAATTTTCTTCCCTGTCCCCAGTTCTGGTTTTGCCAACTCAGCCGGAGCCAAAGGGCCCTGGGGGGAGGGGGAACCCCAGGACCGAACGCTCCTCGGCAGTGTGAGGAAGACCCCGGGGCCTCTAGCAGCCCAGGAACATGAGCTGCGGAGTCCCAAAGCCAGAGGGCTCCGTGAGACCATGCAGTCTACCTCCTGGTCCAAGCACGAAGCCAAAGTCAAGACCCACCGAGTGAGGGTCTCCAGTCTCCACTTGGAGCATCTAAAAAAGGGGGAGGGGACCCCACTTCCACTACAGGCAAGACTACTCGACTGCCTTGAGCCAGCTGGGGGATAGAGGAGGCTGATGGGCAAGGAAGGAGACTCCCTATTTCTCTGTCGCAGTGGCCCCCAACAGAAGCTGCCTTCTGGGGTCCCACAGGCTGTTCTGTGACCCAAGGACAGCTTTCCAGCCACGGAAGGCAACGTCCCCCTCTAACGACCCCTCCCTCCCTGGGAGAGACGGGATTCGCTGCCACAACCACTGGATGTTGTGTCTCGCCTTCCATGGCCATCACTCGCCCGCAGGGTCTCTTCCTGAGAGGAACCCCCCCCGCCAAAGCCGGGGCAGCGGGGGTGACTGGGCTGCCCCTATGGCAAAGGGGACTCACCTGCCGTCGGTCAGGTTGGCCCCGCGGAAGACTGGGTAGTCCTCAGGGGCCGGGTGGCCGTTCTGGTCACGGTAGAAGAACCGTAGGGAGCGGCCGAGCTCAAGACCCAGCTGCTGCACGCCGTGGCGATCGTAGACGGAGAGCAGGAAGACGGGACGGCCCGGCTTGGCCTTCAGCAGCGCCATCACGGAGAAGTCCTCGGGGAACTCACCTGGGGAGGGGGGAAAGAGCTGTGAAGGGGGCTTGGCTGCAGGCAGGATGCGTGGCTGGGCGGGAGGGGGAGATGTCAGCTGCCCCTTCCTGATGCCGGGGTTCCCAAGGCTGGTTGGGGAAAAGGGACGGCCACCCTGGACAGCGCTGCAGGCCGAAGCTCACCAGGTGAGGCTTTCCTTCCTGCGCTAATGATGTGGCAGCCAGTTGGGGGATTCCTGTATCCCTGTTTATCCAGTTAATCGCCTTTTCTGGGCTTGGGTGAAAATCCCTCCCACACCTGCAGCCTTGGGGAGGGGGGATACCTGGGAAGAGCTGCCGTGTTGGGGCACTGATCTGGGCCCGTCTGGATATCCGGAAAGCCGCGTCTGGTCCGGAGCCCAAGCGCTTCTGAAGGCAGAAGCCTGGTGTTTTGCGGACTCCCTCGGGCTCCTTCTGCAGCTGTAGCACCGTCAGGACGTCGACCACCGAGTCTGCTGCAGGAAAGGGGGAGGGGGAGAGACAGGCTGGCTGAGGACAAAGCTCCCTCCCCTTGGTGCAGCTTCCCCCCCCCCGCATCCCCAGGCCCCACGGCCAGGCCCTGCACCCATCAAGGGATGCCCGCTTCCCCTCCGACTGCTTCTGCCCAGGAAAGCCCCATGCCCAGACCCTGAGCCTGGCAGAAGGGAGTCCCCGAAGGGCTGAGGTCCTCCAGTGACATACACCCCCCCCCTACACGCCTCCCGAGACCCTCCCCATCCTCCCACCGGCTCTCCGTGTTTTCAGCCTTTGCTCCTCTGCCTGGCACAGCTGGAGCGGGCGTAGGGCACCAGGGCTTGGCAGAATCCCTCATGGCCGGGGTCAGTATGGATGATCTCTGGAAACACCACCGGGAGACTCAACTTACAACAATTCCTTGAGTGACCGTTTGATGTTACGGTACTGAAAAAAAAGTGACTTATGACCATTTTTTCACACCTTTCACAACCGGTTCACATTTATGACGGTCCCGGGGTCACTTGATCTCATTTTTGCGACCGTCTGACCAGCAAAGTCCCTGGGGCAGCCAGATTCACTTAACAACCATGTTATTAATTTAACGACTGCAGTGATTCACTTAACAAATGTAGTGAGAAAGGTTGTAAAATGGGGCACCACTCACTTAACCAATGTTTCCCTTAGCAACATAAATTCTCAATTGCGGCCATGAGTCAGGACTGCTTGTACCAAAAAATTTGAGGCAACCCCCCCCCCCCTTTGGCCATCAGTAGAAACATCCGATGGCCACCTTCGCTCTTGCCAGGCCAAATGTTTTTTTTATTATTATTATTATTATTTTAGCAGATTTTTAAATTATTTTTTCCCTTCTACAACACCTTACAGTCATTGTTATGTCATCATACCTGTACATGCATATAATATTTCTCTTCTATATTTACACACTTTATACACAGTTCTATATATATATTTATATATATTGTTTTTTTGGCTTAATTAATTTTGTTCCTATTTTGCAGCCATTTGTACCAATTGTTCCAAATTTCATAATATTCCGACTCTTCTTTATCTTTTAATTTCACTGTTAATTTGTCCATCTCTGCACAATCCAAAGTTTTTTTTTTTATCACTAATTCGTCCGAAGGGGGTATTATTTT